ATTTAAAAAAAGTAGATCATAACAATATTTATGATAATTTTCCAGGCAAATTTGCCTGGAAGAGCCTACAGTTTAAGAGATAATATATAAAAATATTGTGATAATTAATTATTTTAGTTTTATATATATATACATATAATACAAAAAATCTAAAAACCACAATCACTTTATATGGATAATACTTTGAAGATATGCTAATTTTAGCAGCAGCTTATTTTAAGTTTCAGCAATATGTATAAATAGTTGCTATTAAGTATATATCGATATTATTTTTGGCATATAATTGAAATTATATGCTGCCAGTTTATGCATTATTTCTATATAGAAATATTGAGGTTTTTAAATTTCTTTACTGTAAAAAATTTTTAACAATGAAATCATTATTAAAATTTTCTTTTTTATACTGATTAGTACATATATAGATAGTCTTTTATGACATATTAATGATTATATTTAGTAAGGGCCGTGACATATATTACGTAATATCATTTTATCAGGGGGGTACCCCCCTCCCCCCACGTCATATATGATCATATATGAAATATCAAGATGAAATATTATCTTCAGCTACCCCCCCCTAGGATATTACGTAATATCTGTCACTGCTCTAATCTATTACATCATATGTTTTCAATGTTTAGTGTTGGTTCCATATAATCCGATATTTAATGCTGGTCCAATGTTTAGCATTGGTTCCATATGATCTGATGTTTAACGCTGGTTCCAATGTTTAGCATTGGTTTTGTATAATCTGATGTTTAACACTGATTCCATATGATTGTATTTAGTAATCTATTACATCATATGTTTCCAATGTTTAGTGTTGGTTCTGTATGATCCAATGTTTAACACTGGTTCCAATGTTTATTGTTGGTTCCATATGATCTGATCATTATGGTGCATTTATGAAATTAGAGTATTTTGACCTATTTGTTTTTTTGACATTTCTTATTGTAAAATCATATATAAACGTCTAACCCATTTTCCCATGTAATTTACATGGGAAAATGGGTTAGACGTTTATATATAATTTTACAATAAGAAATGTCAAAAAAACAAATAGTAAATGACGCACCTCATAGTAGGTCTAATTTCGTAAATGCGCCGTAATGTGCTTAATGCTAAGTCCGTATGATTGTATTTAGTAATCTATTACATCATATATTTCCAAATTATTGAACCGTTTAAGAAGACTGATTCATCGCTAACGGTACTTGCTTTTTAACTTATAAATTTTATAATAATAATTTATTTATTTTTCTTATAATTTAGTTGTAGTACCGTATAGCGCTGCATCTAGTGCCCCCCTGGAATAGTATCACAAGCGATTTATGGTCCAGTTTTCATATTAATAGTGCGATCTTTTCATTTGGTTTGATATGTTTAATAACAAAGTATATAGTGATCAGTAACAATTATTTGTGTTATCCTTCCATCTCTCGATATTTGGGGGGTATTATTCAATCTAGACCGGCTTTTTTGTAAAATACCCGGGGTACTGTATGCAGCGCTGTACGGTAGTGGCCAGTGACGGAGGCGAATTTCTATCCAACTACGTATAAGATTTTTAGGGTTATTTTTTCGGTAATATTTTAAACTTTAATTTGAACAAATTACTATAATTATAATTTATATATATATACAGTACATTCTTTTTATTAATCAATATCATAATTTTTATTTTATATTTAATGGTAGTGGCCAATAACGGAGGCGAATTACTACGTAATAAGGCTATGAATTGAATAAACTGACGAAGTGAGCTTTCTATCCAAATACAAGCTTATAATTAGACTGATATAAATAAAAAACGAAAACTGGCTATATTTTTCTACGTAGCTTGGTGTCTTTATTACTTGGTTTATAACATTGACTTAATGGTCGATACCAGTAGTTGAAGTCTCGACTACTAACACTAATTTCACAGGTAACAACTAATTTTACATTGAACATATTGGGTATAGTGCCAAAAAGTTAAGGGTTAATTCAAAATCTCAATAGGGTCAAATTCCGACGGTTTAATCCGCGTTAGGTTAGCATTAGCGTTGGCTATAACGATCAATTGTTGCCTAAGAAATTTCTCCGTCCAATGAAATTTCCATGAAATTTTGGTATTACTATGCATCCCTAGGGTCTTAGGGTTTTGTCTATCAGTGATTTTGTTGGGGATTTTAACCCTAACCCAAACCCAATTACAATAAAGTCGCAAATACTTTTTTCCTGCAATATACATGTTAACGTATTCGAGCCATATTTATATAAGACGCTCGTTACCTCGGGACGCTCTTTGTGCTTAGATAATATTTTTTCAAATATGGTAAAAATTTTCTATTGCTATCGCTATCAGCTACGTATACAATTTTAACATGTACGTACGTACGTACGAACAGACCTAATAAAAATTTTAGATTAAAGAGTGTACGTAGCACAAGTATTGCGAAACACAATTTCTAAAAAAGAAACATTCGTGTCCTGATCCGAGATTTTTTAAATGTCTTCAGACAGATACATAGTTTCAGCACCCGGAAAAGTTATTTTATTTGGAGAACACGCGGTTGTTTATGGCAAGGTACAAACCCACAACTTTACAGAATTACATTTGTCTCTTACGTTCATATATATATATATACGCGCATATATGCATATGTTTAATAATTAATAGACGGCAATAGCTGGAAGCCTTGACAAATTACGAACGTATGCGTTCTTTGAAAAACGGATTGATGGATATCTTGAGTTGAACTTAACAGATCTCGGTCTTCAACGCGCCTTCTTGTGGCCTGCCTCCGCATTACCGTATAGTTTAGTAAATAATGTTGATGTCAAAGGTACTTTCATAATAATTTATGAAATTTTTTAAAAGATTTAATGAAATTAACATGATTCAATTTTTTTGTAAAGAACCTCAGAAATTTAATGAAGTGCTTTTACATAAAATCAAATCAATCGCGTTTGACGGACAAGATAATCAAGAAATCAATAATTTCCAACAAATTGCGGCTTTCACGTTTCTTTATCTATATACATGCTTGGATTCTAATTCACAAACTTCATGGTAAAATTATTCATTGATAAACATTAGTTAATATTAAATTTATTAAATTTTAATTTTTTTTATCAGGAGTGGAATGACAATTAATGTTAGATCGAATGTACCAGTTGGGAAAGGATTAGGGTCATCTGCCTCATATTCAGTTTGTTTGGCCACAGGATTGTTACTTGCTTTTGGTCATATTTTGTCACCTCGTGAAAGTAATGAACAAGATATTAAAAAAACGAGGGAATTGATTAATTTATGGGCATATCAAGCTGAAAAAGTTATTCATGGGACACCATCTGGTGTTGATAATTCAGTAGCTACTTATGGTAAGCTTAAAACATCGTATATGTATTTTGGTGTATTTTGGTGTATTTTGGCTAATATTATTTTAATAACTTGCAGGAGGCGTTATAATGTTTACTAGCGGTGTGATTCAAAATATAATGGGGTATTTGTTTATTTTTTATTTTTTTGATATATTATTGTTATATATGATTTATTTTAAAATAACAAGAACTTTTGAAAGCACACAGTCTTTACGTTTCTTATTAACCGATACCAAAGTACCACGCAACACAAAAATTCTAATAGAAAATGTTAGAACAAGGATTGAAAATGTAAAAGGCGTATTTTCCTTTAATAAATTGTTCATTATATTTATATGATATTTTTCAATTATTTATTTATTTATTTTTATTTTAGTTTCCAAAAATTGGTAATTTGATATTGGATGCAATTCATGGTGTTAGTGAATCATTTAAAGAAATTTTGGAAAGTGAAATGGGTAAGTGTACTAGCTTTACCTATGATTTTATTAATATCATACACATTATCTACACATTATATACACATTATGTACACATTATTTAATTCAATTCACATAGTGGGTGATCAAGAACAATGTACGAAAACTGAGGTATTGTAGATATAGCAAGTTTTTTTTATTTATCTTATCTATAAATAATTTTTACTAATTTTTTTAACAATCTTCTAAATCATCTCTATAAATAATTTTATCAACTTAAAAAAAAATAAATAAATAAATAATAAAATAGGGACTCATCGATATGTGCCATTACCTATTAAATTCACTTGGTGTAGGTCACCCAAGCCTAGATAAAGTTAGAGAAATAGCTGCACAATGTGATTTGCATACGAAACTTACAGGTGCTGGCGGAGGAGGATGTGCACTAACATTGATTCGTAATGGTAATTTAAAATTAAAAAAAAAAAAAAATTAGACAGAAAAAATTAGTATGGAAATATATAAAATTAATATATCGATATAAAAATTTAATTTTTTATAGATGTATCCAAAGCACAAATCGAAATTGTCAAGAAGGCACTGACCGCTTCACCGCATTGTTTTGAATGTTATGAAACGTCAATCGGAGGACATGGAGTCGGGGTGTTGGATGCAAGTAGTGGTATGAGCTTGCAGGAATTCTCGGAATGCGAAAAGAATCAATTGGCAGAAATCATCGGATGGATGTACTTTGCCTAAAATCCTATATTGTACAATGTCTCTTAGCATACAACAGCATAATTATTAGATATTTTATTGGTTACAAAATTGTTTTTGGTTATTAATTGTGTTAATCATAATTACATTAAAGGTTACTGATTAAAAGATTTAAAGATTAAAAGATTAAAAGATTGAGAGTACCACTATTTACGTGCGTGCGTACGTAGATACATTTTTTTTTTAACCCACGAAATCCAAATATGTACGTACGTACAATGGGGTTGAACAAGTTTGAATAGTTTGAATAGCAGCATAGTGAACCTTAACATTAAAGGTAAAAGGTATAAAATTCTAACGTCATTTGAGCAATTTATGCCGGAAAGAATATTAGTAATAAATATTTAGGTCACAAGAAATATCAATTTGAAAGATCGATACCAATTTAATCGAAAATAGAGGGGATATTAATTAATAGACCAATAAAGATGGAAGAATGCGTGAAACCATTAACGTATTACATTGTCAGGAGAACTGATAATTTTCAGAATATCTTTACGAATTAACAAGAATCTAAAAGTATCTACGGTTCAACATTCTTAATTTTAATCGATCAACGAAATAAATACCAAATTTAAACGAAATCGGATCGAATCAAAATCGAGTAGAATTGGGAATTTCCTAAATAAATTCGTTATTTAGGTCACGCCACTTAATGTAACGTTTACCTAAACCTTGTTTGTTAAAAATTTCAAAAAAATTCATGTGTGCGAAAAAAAGCTGGGGGAATTTTTAACAAATATTTCCGAAAAGAAAAGATCTTCGGTAAAGGATGGTCGGGTCAGTGGGTAATAGTAGCTGTAATAGTAGCTGTAATAATAGCTGTAATAGTTGTAATAGTTGTAAGATGAGATGATAACGTTTTAAAAACGAATTATTTAGAATGTTCGATTAATATCGATAAAAAACACAAGCATTAAAGAAAATCCGGATGAACACAAACAATAACAAAACATAAACACACCCGTTTCCAATGTAACATTTTAGGAAAAAAGGTAAATAAAATCACATGGCACATGGTTACTTATAATATATCCTATAATGTATTCTATTAATGTTGTACGTATGATATAGTGTATGCTACGTATAATGTATAATGTGTGAATATAATGTATAATGTGTATGAATAATGTATGAATATAATGTTAGGACATTGAATTGACTGGTCTCTGACACAAGAAAAGAAAAGAAAAGAACGCGAAACTTTAAGACGCGTACTCAAAACGCGCATTTAATGAGAATTCTCTTACGTATTTCTGTATTTCTGTATTTCTGTATTTCTGTATTTCTGTATTTCTGTATTTCTGTATTTCTGTATTTCTGTACTTCTGTACTTTTGTACTTTTGTATTTCTGTATTTTATTTCTGTATTTGATATGTTCAATATGAAAAAATAAATGAAAATAAAGAAAATGATTTGAACTAACCTAATATTGTTTGTTATACGCGCGATATACTTACGTACGTAGCATGAATGGGTATGTCCGATGAACTTTTTTTTGACGGATATGTAATGTAAATAAATAAACAGGCATAACCTCATTTTTTGAAACAATATGCCCGAAAGGTATCTTTGCATTATCCAATTATCATTCTAAATCCTTCCTCTTTTTTGCCAAAGAATTTCTAATTCACTCAAACACCTTGCATTACCATTGTTCTGTATAAACCAATTTTAGTCAATCGAACATAGAAGAATGAATTTCGATTATTTCGATTAACAATTCGTGATTACAATCAACGATATTGTAACCATGGTCGTTTTTCTTACGTTATTGCGTTATCTAACTCTACCGGATTTGTGTTTTGTTCTCCTTTTTCGTGTGATGGTCATTATGCATTATTTGGCATATATCCAAATTTGTTTAATGCACGAAAAAAAATTAATAATGAAATTCTCTCATTCTATGCGTATTAATCGCATTAACTAAAATTAAAAAAATTGATTCATTTTATTTCATTCAGCGTTATTCGTATCTATATAGCTATATAGTTCTGTACGTAGTCAGGTCATCGTTTTACAATCGGATTTCATTGTTTAAAAAACTTTGTGGGCTTATTTTTTTTTTCTTAAAACGTATTAATTATGATAATGCGTTTTTTTTTTTGATTTTTCAAAAAAAATTTTTTTTTTTCAATTGTTATCGTTCTCTTCTCTTAACAACAACAAAAACAACAACAGAAAACTACAATAGTGAAAAATTTGTTCACAAATATTTACAAATATTCACAACAAATATTCAAAAATATTCACAATATCCCAAAGAACCCATTTAATAATAATATCCCAAAGAACCACATTTAATAATAATAATATTTTTCTATTTGTTCTTTTTATTATCGAAACACGAAATTCAGATTATTTTCAGATTATTGCCAGTAATCTCGAAAGGTAAGATACAAAAAAAAGTTTTTTGCCAGAACGAAAAAAAAAGAGTCTTTGAAATAATAATAAAAAAATAAAAAAGATAAAAAAAGTTCTTCAGATTTTAACCAGTTGAAATTTGAACAGAAAGAAACGGATTTTAGAAAAGACCAGGTAAAAATAAAATAAAAAAGGGTATGGTAAGGGTAAAAGGGTCTATAAAGCACAGGCGAAAAAGAATACAAATGCGAAATGCAATGCGGTAAAAATGCGAATATAAAAAAAGAAGTCTGCATAAAAAGATTCGTGTATATAACCTATATAAATTGAATGATAAAATGTGTTTTTTGTAAATGTTTGTTCAAAAAAAAAAATATCTGTTTGAAAAAAAGAGCTAGGTTCTAAAAAGTCCGAGAACCTATAAAGAGGACACGATTTTTCTTTCGAACATAAATCTTGAAAAAAATAGGAGATAAAACGGTAGGATATAAATGCTTATAAAAAAAGTCCATAAATGTTTGTTGGATGGATTAAACATAATTTGTGTCGTATAACATTAAAAATTGTTAAAAATTAATGATGCATATACAACAACGAGGAACAACGAAATATAAAAAGTACGAAAAAAAAAGGAACCGCGAGTTAAAAAAAGATTCGTATATTGTTTAAAAAAAAGGAATGAAGTATTGGAGAAAGAATAGTGAAGAAAAAAACAAACAACAAAAACGAGAAAAACTGATCGAAAACAAACAATAAAAACAATAAATATGAACAAAGGGAAGATGAGGTTTCTTTAATGAAATTTTGAAAAAACTATATACAAGAAAAAAAATAAAGCATGTGTAATTCATATAATGATGGCATACTAAAAAAATTCTTTCAACCCTCCCAAATCTTTACACAATCTAAAAAGTCTTTAATTGTTTTTGTTATAGAAAAAAATGTTTTTTGACTTAAAATGTTTGACTTTATCCTTCCATTAATCCTTTGTGCTCATTAAAATACATGAAAAAAAATACATCAATTTTGGTCATTATTTTCCTTTTCGAAAGTGTCTCCTGTAACAAACTATATATGTTGGATAAATTTCTTGCTTGACGTTTTTTTTTACTAAAGATTGTAAAATATATATTTTTACGAGGAGATATAACGAAAGAAAAAAGAAATTGAATATTTTTTTAATAATAAAATGAAAGGAATCTAATTAAATACAAAAAAAAGGACTGAGAACAAAATAATTAAAAAACGAAAATAGATATAATTAAAAGGATTTTGAAAATTATTAAAAGAATTTTTTTTTTTTGTATGCATCATAATTTATAAAATAATAATATCGCATATATGTTCAAAATGAATTTTTGTTTAAACAAAAAAAAAAGAAATCAAGGTAGAGAGAAAGGGTTCTCAAACCTAAACGTTTCTTCAAACCCTTTACCAAATCTTGAAACCATATTTTTTTGTTTGCAAGAAACGAAACAAAATCGACTAAAACGTGTACTATTAATATTCCTCCGAATTTTGTAGTCTTGTGCGTAAAAATGAGAACGAAAAAAAATGGGATAAAGAATAATAGTTTTGATCCACAAGTTTGAAAAAAATAAAACCCCAATAACCCACAATAAATATAAAAACCCAAGAAATTATTTTTTTCTTATCATGGTAATCAAAAAATCCATCCCATTAGAGAAGTGTTGTTTTTTTTTGAGGGTGAAGGAAGGGAACTCCCTTATTTTTGTTTGATGTCAAATCAAATCATTGTCGTTTTACGTAAGGTAAGGGAGGAGTGAACTTGTGATAGTGTAATTAAGGAAAATAAACTTGATATATAAAACAAAGATTCAATTTTATAATTATAAAGAAAAAAAGGCCTTATTACGAGCAAATAATATAAAGAACAGAGATCATTTTGCTCAAATTATACGTAATATTCGTAATATTTGGGGAATAATTACATTAATCCCATGAACCTTCCTTGATAAGTATATCGAAAATCTATATTATTGATTAGTTAAGATTAATAATATTAATATATTATTATATTAAATAAATAATTTAAATATATTAAATAAAATATATTAAATAAATATATTAAATATATTAAATATATAAATATATTACGTATATAAATATATTAAATAAATATATTAAATATATTACGTATATAAATATATAAATATATTAAATATATTAAATAGAAAATCAACATACCATATCACCCATTAAACTATAACCGTCCTCCGTGGGATGAATACCATCATGATCCCAAAAGATTCTACGCTGTTCTGTAGTTAAAGAATGCATAGGGAAAAATTTGTCAAGGAGGAAGAGCGTGTATGCATTCCTTGTAGTGCTGTTATTGTACACGCTAAAGAACAATAAAGAAAATAATATACATATAAGTTAGCATACAAAAGCAAAGAATTAAGTGTGGCAATGAAGAATTATCATGTGACTTACTTTAGGTGTTCGTTTACTATACGGCGCTGATAATCAAGGTGATTTACAAGACTCTAAAATTTGATAATAACGAGGTTTAGAGAAATTAATTCCGAGAAATAGATATAAATATATTATTATTATATATTAACATATATTAATATATATTAATATATTTATAGATATTAATATAAATTAATAGATATTAATATAAATTAATAGATATTAATAGATATTATATATTAATAGGATGTAATCAATTACCCAGTCAAATTCAGGAATCGTTACTCCCAACACTCTAGCACCGTGTTTTGAACATAATGTATATAATTTTTTTAAACCATCAAAGATATCCCATGCAGAATATCCATTGATCACATCATTTGTTCCTAAAAGACAAATAAAAATGAATTAAAAAATGAATTAAAAAATGAATTAAAAAATAAATGAATGAATGAAATTTTATAATTATAATTACCTCCTAGGATGACAACCCAGTCATACCATTTACCCGGTTGTTCTAACTCATGCTTTAATCTTTCTTCCATAGATTGGACAACGCATTCACCGGGAACTCCACTAACAGTAACCTAATTCACATAATGAATTTGATTTTAATAACAATCATAATAATCATAATGATTAAAGATAGAAAGAACTTTACAAATGAATGAATGAATGAATGAAATATACCTCAACATCTAAACCTTCATCTTCGAATCTTTTTTGAACCCTCAGTCCGTAAGGATGATAAGTACCATAACCATCGGCATTCTTTACCCATCCTATTTAAATAAAAAAGGTCGTTAGTACTGGAACCCAAAATTGTGAGGACAGAAAAGGTGATGATTGGCCTTGATAAACCGATGAATCGAGTAATCTCATGTAAATTATAATCCATCATACAACTATCATGCAACAATCATATTATGCCATAATATGATCATAATACTATCACCTTCACCATTAGTTTACCATTGGTTTACCATAAGTTTACCATCGGTTCACCGTTAGTTTACTATTAGCTCACCATTAGTTTACTATTAGCTCACCATTAGTTTACTATTAGTTTACTATTAGTTCACCATTAGTTACTATTAGTTCACCATCCATCACCAATAATTAGTTCACCATTAATTTCATTATCAATTCATTACCAATTCACCATCAATTCATTATTCAATTCATTTCACTATTAATTTCACATTATCCATTTCATTATTAATTCAATATCTATTACTATTAATCCATCATTAATTTTCAACCAATCCATCACCAATTCACCAATTCACCGATACACCAATTCACCAATATACCAATACACCAATTCACAATTCATCAAGAATTAAAAACTTACCAGCAGTTAAACTATCGCCAAATAATAATATGTTATATCTTCTTCTCGGACCGGTGGTCGACACCGAAGGGTTTCTTCTTTTTCTTAATACGGACTTTACAATAACATGTTGTTGATAGTTCGAAGAAGAATTATTTACTAACGGTTTTTCAGAAACCTCTTGCCGGTTGTCGGTCAAGTGTTCAACGATGGAAGTAACATCGTCATCGTCGTCGTTGTCAAGAATAGACTCGCTGTAGGTACAACAAAGGATATTTTTTATCTTGCTTAATAAAGGCATGGTTGTTTAATGGAAAAGTTTTTTAATAATTTTTTTTTTTGAATAAGAGGGATTATATAGATGTGACCGATTTTTTTTTTTTTTGTACGAGCGTGAGGTCTGGAAAACACTTTTAATTAATCGAATCTGGTATATATAAAACAAATCTAACAATGAATTTGTTTGTTTGTTTGTTTTTTGATTTTATTTTTCTTTAAAAGATTCTATAGAAATTTTTAACGAGAACAGATTCATCAAGCAAAAAAACTCGAAAAAAATTGCTCAAATTTATTTTATTTTATTTTATCTATAAAATAAGAATATAAAAGAATACACAAGAGAGATATATATATATAAAATAATTTAATAATAATAATAATAATAATAATATAATGTATAAATAATGAAGAAGAAACGAAGAAACAAAAGAAGAGATGAAGGATGAGAATATAAGGTTTTTTTTTTTTTATGTTTTTTTTTTTTTTTTTTTTTTTTTTTTTTTGAATAAAAAAAATTGTTTTTTTTTTTTTTGGG